AAGGAAATCATCTAGTTTAGAAGTTAAGCATGACGTCAGTGCTTTTGTGCTCTGTGAAGTCGGGCACGTGCCAGCAGACCAGGATCATATGACCTGAGGCAGCAACTGCCATCGGACAGAAGGTCCCCAGGGTTCAAAAACGATTCCTGGCCAAAGAATACATAGCTATAAACATCGGGCACATGCTAACCAAGCAAAAAAAAGAATGGAAATGGAGGGGCGAGTTTTTTTTTACGTGGTCACGTTTGCTGCGCTAAAAACACTGCACTACAACCCTTCTGTTTTTTTTAGGTGGACATCAACCGCAAGGCAGTTCCACCATTGGATCAGTGTTTTTGAGTGAGAGCAGGTGTGATATGGAGGCGAAGACCATGAGAAACGGCCCAGAACCCTTGAATTGGACCTATCCCTTTGGCCGTTGATTTTCGCACTGATGCGACTGTCGTGTCGGTTCTGCTCTCTAACGCTAACGCTCTCTCTGCTAAGTGGTGAGACCTGCGGCGGGTGGTTAGCTAGTCGGAGGCGTACTGCGCCGATCGCGCCGCGGGGACGGCATGCCTATGATCGCCAGCATACCGTTCGCTGCAATTGCAATGACGATTGCATTCTTTAAGGCTGCACGCCTGTCTTTCCAATAAGTAAGTTCCCCTGCTTCGATCTTATCGTGGAATCCTCCTTAATCGCCGGCTCCTCCCGTGAAGGGGTATTGCGATGCAACAGTTGGGTCGCCTGAGGTAATTTGAGGTGATCCCTTTCTTCGCAGGGAAGAAACTCTTTAGAGATTTTCAAGAAAATATCTTCTTCCCTGTTTCTCTTACAGAATTCATCATCGAGTTTTCAGGGTTGAACATCCAACTTTCGCTTTTCCGAGTTCCGGTGATATAATTCCCGGCTGACCGGAAAGAGAAGAATGCTTTTCTGCTATTTTCATCGTTAGAGTTTTTCGAGTTACGCTTTTCCATGTGGGATGCGCAGGCTAATGCGGCTATGCATTTTACTGCTTCCGTTGAAGTCACGGATCGCATTAGATGCCGAGAGGTAGCCATTTTTGAAGCGAGAAAGAGAGCGTCGTCAACCCCGCAGATGACGCGAATTGCCGCGAGCTCAAAATGTAGCCGGCCGAAGGGCAGTATGGCCGGCCCTATACGAGTCCGCCTGCCCTTCAACAATCGCGAATAGTGACGCTTTGCCGCGCTCTCGCGATACATGTACTTCTTGGCGCGTTTTCCACTCCTCACAGACCTGTGTTTCTCCCCACTATCACGGCCGATTCCCACAACGCAAATTTCAGGCTTTCCAGAGTTTTCTATGTGCGCTTCCTGCCTGTTTATACCCGGTGACGTTCTCCATCGTACCTATCGCCATTTGCGAACAAAATAACGCATATATTCGATCCCGATCTCGGCTTTTATTTCCGAGAAATAGGTAGAAACCTCAATGAGCCTATCTCTTGGTAGATAAGCTATTCCTTTCTAGGCATTTGGTGATGGGATTAGAAGATGTTTGGGGCTCAAGGCGTGTGGCAAAGGGCGCCGCTTACCACGCGCACGCGTTGATTCCTGGATCACTTTTCGCCCAAGTCAGCCAAGCATTTTATCTCATCTATGTTCATCCTTTTTTAGATTGATGTACGTTTATTAATCCGTTATCGATGTTTTCTGTAACTCTAACAATTCTCGATTTCAAGGCGGTGACAGCCATGGCCCAGGTTCAGTTTAAGCCGATTTGAATCAAGTGCCCTCGAATCCCGTATTAGTGATGGAGTTGGTCAAAAAAATAGCACCTTTTAATAATGATTGGCTCCAACGGGACTTTTTACATTGGTTTTAGACGTCCGTAAACTTACAGATGGCAATTCCGGTGGCTCTTCGATGACTGAACAGAAATACTACATGGCGCATCCTGATGAGGCTATCCAATCGAATGTTTTACTGTTAATGCCGATTTTCCCGGGGCAACGATCTATGAGCTCCTACTAAAGGACTATCTCCATTTCCCCTTCGATTACATCGAATCAAACCCCTGAGCTGGATTTTCAGGGATAAGCTGAACGATGAGTCAGCCATAAGCCACCACTCCCGCCAAGCATGAGCATAAAATCCGTTCAAGTTTTATTCGTTTCCCAACAAATAATGCACAAGAAAAGAAGGTTTTCTAAGGTTTACGTGTGTGAGGAATATAAAATGTGCTGGAAGGAAATGAACTATCTTGTTTTGTGAAAAAATAAGGGGTCTATTCCAGTTAGGGGGGCATCATGATGCAGTTTCTCGGCGAACTAGTGTAAACTCGAACATTCCAGCTTTTCACGCATGTCAAGTGACTGCCCTCACCCCTGGCTCGGAGTTACCTAGCTTTCTGGAAAAACTGCATCATGATGCCCCCTAACTGGAATAGACCCAAAATAAGTTTAAAGGTTTCATAAGAATGCTCGCTTGTGAACAAAACTTTTGCCCCAGAAGGGAACAAACCAAAACAATAAGCTCAAAGGATTTCTTCCTTATCCCGGCCGGGGAAGTGCTGCATACGGCACCCGGACATCGCCTTGAGCGTGAGTTCCCCATTGGGATAGGATGCATTTCCGCACATTCCTGTCATTCCTGCGCTTCCCCGACCCAAACCTGTGGTGGCGGCAGCTGGTCATCTCCCGTCGCACCCGTCTGACCCCGGCGCTGGGCGACGTTGACCGAAGCGTGCGCGAACGCCGCCGCCGCGGCCGTTGATCGATAAGGCGCCGCGCGCGACGCCGCGTCGCGACGGGGGCACGACGGCGAGCCGGCACGGGCTGGCGGCGGCGGTGGCACATGCGACGACGTGCGTGGTCATCGGAAACCGACGAAGCCATCGTACACAGCCGGCGGCGGCTTTCTCGCCCCGCCACCGACTCCCCGCTTGGAAACGACGTCCCGTCGATCGATTCCCCGACGTAGGCGCTGTGCGACGGCTGTGGTCGCTGCGCCTGCGTTGCGCCAACCGATCGATCGCCGCCCTATCGATCGACTGATCGGAAGCAGCACAGCGCACATCCGGTGCAGTGCACTCGTCCCGTGTGTGAATGCGTGTATGTGTGTTGTGACAGCTCGATTGCGAGTTTTCTCTCTGTCTCGTTCTCTTCGCCTCTCCCCCCAATTCCATCTCTCTCCGTTTTTCTCTCGCGCCTGATCGCGCGAATTCCAGCGAGGTTCTCATGCCGAGTCGGGTCGTACTTCGATCTTGAGATGCTGAAACTTGGCCCGTTTTCGCGCTCATCCTAGCCCGTCTCATTCTTAATTTGTATTGATCGCATATTTATCACTTGTTATCGTTAAATTCTGCGAACAGCTATCACCTGACATCTTTAAGACTGAAGAATTTTCTCGGCTCAGCTTTTGGCATTTGGTCTTTTTTCATTAGTAAAACCTTGTTAAAGTTTGAGGTCAATCCTTGATCTTTGCGGTGTTCCTATTTTGTTCCTTTTTCTTTGGTTTTTTCGAGCGGTTCACAGAGAGTCGCTGTCGACGCGACATTGAATCGTTTTTGTTTTATCATCGAATTCTTTTTTACGTGGTTATATGTGTTAATAACTGTGCAACTCCGTTTTCCATGTCATCGGCGTTGTTATCACTGAGTATTTCGCATTCACTCACCAACGGTGGTTTCAGATTGAAACAGAAGTTTCTTCTTAGGAATTTCTGTTTTCCTTTTCGCGCTCGGCTAGTGCGCCCTTTCAGCCTGTGAAAGTTTGGCGTAGCTATTGATTTATTTGTTTCGGTTTTCAATTTGAAGAAAACACGCTTCCTGATATGGTGAGTTATTGTTCTGTTCTATTAGTTTTGAAGGAAATGGATAATGTTTTTCTTGATTTTTATTTATACCTCGGAAATTGTTCGCTGTTTTTACTTCTCGTAATTTACTGCTTGACACGTCGTGACAGTCTTTTTGAGTTTGCCTATTGCTCATTGATTACGCCTTCTCAGAGGCATAGAACTTTGGACTCAGTTAATCACACTGGTTAACAAGGTTGCTTGCACTTTCGTATTTTCGGATAGTGAACTTTCTCGATTTCTATGGGGCCTAGTTGCTATGGAGCTTTTGTGGCAGGAGTTGGAGAGAATTGTGATCATCGGGTGTTTTCGTTTCCTGAAATTGCACGCCCACATCAAGTTGAATAGCTTCCTCATAACTTTTGCAAACTGCTTCATTCAATTTACTACAGCTGAAACTTTCTTCTGGAAAAAAATGAATTGAAAATTAAACGGCGTTCGACAACGTCAAATGTATGACGGTATTTTGTCGATGCAGTGCTCAGTATCTTGATGAGCATGCTTAGGCTGATGTCAGAGTCCGCGATCGTCGCAGGTTTCGCTGATTTTCGCGACTTGCGCATTTTCGCGATTTGCGCGATTTTCACGATTCACGCCATTTTCGCGAAACCTGCGACTGATCGCGGACTCTGACACCAGCTACTAGGATTTTCCATTAATTCCAAGAATTTCCCGCTTATGGGCACGTGAAAATGGTGTTTTGCATTACGCCGCTGCCAGATTTTTTTTGAAACTTTTTAGAACACCAGTCGCGAACCTCGGTCATTTCAATCGTCTTGCACTTACCTACAAGGAAATGTTTCCGTATCTGCGCTAGCTTTAGCATGAATACATAAAAGGGCGTTTTGTCGCACTTGCAAAGTGCTTTTGGTAGGATTTCGCCAATAGATTTCATTTGGCACACTTTCCTGTATGCGTTTGGGATTGAAGGAGAAAAAATGTGAACTATTCCTTGCAAAACATGCTTGAGAACATTCCTGAAAAAGCGTCAAGAAGTTTTTCGTGCCAATTTCACAACATTGAGAGCACTGCATACATTTGTTTTTTCGCCTCTAATGTTTGCGTAGCTAGAAATTTTTAATAGACGCCCGTTACGGAGCAAAGACTCAGCAAAAAGTATATCCAAAAATAATTTTCCTTTTTATCAGTCAAGCCTTTGCAAACTTTTTCACTGAAGTTTTTCCTAATGCATTATCAATTAAGGATGAAAACCTTCGCCTTTTGCAGAGCCAGGTTGACGGAATATACGCTAACCATGCACTATTGACTATCATAAATGATTTGGTGGTGAGTTCGTAATTTCTGGTATTTTGTAATCACAGTTATTGTCCACATTCAGGTTATGATTTCCGATTCCTTTCTTAACGTTTTCTTTTAAAGATTTTTCATATTTTGCAGGGCAAGGAAGTGTTGGTAGAAGCAGTTGACGGGGCAAAATATTCGGGGATATTTACTGCATGCTCTCCAGAAGTGAGTTTCTTTAGTGTTCTCTAGTAATCAGATTTTACTTTTTTTCGGTAACTATTCAATTGATTGAAACCTCTTTTTTGTATGCCCTTGTCGATTTCCATGATGATTGCGTAAGTTCCATCGAGTACTGCTATCACGCCACTGGAATCTGAGTTAAGAAATCGCAGACAGCGTGGAACTAGCGGATCTTTTGTCCATGTAGAAAAATCTGGCGCTAGACAGTGCAATGTGTTTATCATGGGGTGCGCTCGCCCTTTTACATTGAGGTCACGTTACATTGATTTCCTAGCACATTGTCTGATGGTCTGAGGCATAGTGAAAGCGGTGCATATTTTGTAGCGACTAGTTTATTTAGAGGTACTCAATTCAGGGGCTGGCATGACAGCTCATTTTTACTTCGTTGGAAAAGGAATTCCCGTATCTTCTCAGTTCGCGAAGAAAACAACGTACAGATTGCCACTGCTGGGGCACCTGCTCTTATCATTATCACCAGTCAATTACTCAACTTTGTCATTTTTTGATCATTTACTTTGTCAAGCTTCGAAATCTCATGTTCATGTTGTTTTTCGTTTTTTACACCGGTTTGCCTCGTTATTTATTGAATGTTATATATGCTGTTAAACTGAAGTGTAACGGTTTCAGTTTGACATTGGTTTACGACACGCGTATAAAATCACAACGGGTAACATGACGAATCTACTACCGAAAAAGGAAGACATGACCACTAAAATGCTATTCAAATTCAGCGATATAGTAGCGATGTCAGCCCTTATGAATGAAGAGAAAGTGATAAGAGGTTGGTGATTTCCTCGTGTTTATATGTCGAAACATGTTAGTTCGGCTTGAAATTTTTGATTAGAGTTTCTTATCATAATTTGTCAGGTTGCTACAAAACATTCTCTTCCCTTTATAACTCTGATTGAATCCAAGAAGGTGGATCTATTTCATTCTGAAGAGGCGTCATTTTGTTCATGGTATGGGTTGTGCTCCCCTTCCCAAAGAGAGTTCCATTATAGTTATTTCCTGTGGGCTAAATAACCGACCGGTTTTATAAAATTTCACAGTTTTAAACTAATGAACTTTATCTGATGCCATAAGTGATCGCTGCAATAATTCTTTTGATGATTCAGTTGGTAAATAATTGCATTTTATTTCGCGATAAGACGGGGTGTTGTTTACGTGGGTTCCGCCGGGTTCCAAGCACTACGTGTCTCTAGAAAATGCTGACACTGATGCTCGCAGCTTGTTGACAATAAAGTGTCAGCTGACCAAAAACAAGTGATTCCGAGTCTGAGCGCTGAATGTGATTTTCACGAGCGCTTTGAGTCATGGTGTAAGCATGCTATCAAAAGTGATGATTTGTAATGATATGCAGTGTATGAACATGGATTTTGTAGGGTTTGCCACAGACCGTGACTATCACATCAAGCAGCAGAATGGACGTATTGGTGATGAAGATCATGAGCTACAGGAATGGAGTGCCGACGAAGATGCAGAAGAAATTGAGCCACTGGATCAGATGGTACGATACTCGACCGCCAAACACTCAGTTGTATTCGTCATACAGCTTTTTCTACTGCGCGTGCAGAAACTGTATCCTCATATGTGCTGTTTTCGCGGAGCGAAGAGAATTTGTAAGCGATGAGTCACGTACGTGGTTGTTTTAGCCAGATCAGCGTCAACGATATCAGCGCAACAATGGCTGGAATGTCGAAGAGATGTTCAACACTAATTCGCAGATGGGTGTGCAATCGACTTACGAAGAAGATCTTCGTCAGTACACAACGTGAGTCTCTAGTTGTTTCATAATTTTGCCATTTCTTGAGAAAAGGACTTTCTCTCATGTGTATTCAAAGAAAATTGGAGTAGCGATTAGGAAGTTAAAATTTCTTATTCTTGTTATCAAATATTCCCGCATTATCACTTGAAGGGAAGTTTGAAGATTTGATGATGGTTCTCTGTAATTTGCCATTGATACCGATACTGATAAATTACCTGATTACTGGCATTTATGAGAGCGTCTGTAAATAGAGCTTGAATTTAGCACAAATCTGTTGAATAGTAGCTCTCCTCACGTCACGGGCTGATTTCGAAAATATCAACCTTTCTGTTGGTTTCTTTTGTCGGCAAAGTAAAGGCCTGCGTTATTCTAGAATAGCTGTTCGCGCAGTATTTGATTCGATTCTGAAACTCTTTCGTAAGGAGTCGATGTTCGTAGAAATGGACGAATCAAGCCTATTGTCGTTGTTCTTCACGCTTTTCCCGGCTAGCGTCTGCCAGATGGCGAAGATGACTCGTGTAAACATTGACGCTGGACGTCTATGACCGATGACAACTCGCTATAAAACATCCAATACCGCTTCCAAGACAAGCGAAAGAGAGGATTGCATGTGTACCGACTCAAATGTATCGACATGTCAAAGACCACTTCTGGATTCTTCACCATTGTGATCAGACGGTTGGTGTTATAAGTCGGAAATAGATGAGATAAGATGTGCATTCTGTGGCGTTTGACCGGAACCGTCTTTTTTATAAGGCTGTGGCTTTGCAGCGGAATACTTCGTTGATTGCCGGCGATCAGCTGACTACAACCAAATTTCTTCAACAAACCTCAAAAAGTTGAGAACCTGTGTGCACTTGGTGTAGCCTGTTGTCGTTGTTTTTTCTGTTTCTTCCTTGCTCCAACATTATCGATCCTCAAGGGTCACGTTTCTTTAGAGCAGGCAGATCGAATTAAGGACTTACCTTACAATGGCTAGCAACGGTGTTGTCGGTTCCCGTTGTATTGCTGGCGGTCAGATGCACGTGAAAACTAACACCTGAGCCACATGTTATTCTCCTTATCCTGGGCGTGGGAGGCCGTCAAATTTTTTCGCTTTTCCGAACGTGTCGAGAAAAGGCGTTCAGAGACAAGTAATTCTGAGGGTACCTTCAGGTGTGAATGTCATAATATAGTATACAATAAAATGTGTGTAACAAGGAGGCAGATCTACAGACTGAGCCAACTTCAAGGATTCCTCAATGAAATGTTTTGAGGTGAGGGTCCTAGTGGGTAGACAGACAATAGAGTTGAACTAAGTCGAAATATAAGGAGTTTCGGGAAATTCCAGATATGTTATGTAAATTCACTCATTCGGTTGCGCCATGTACCCTTACCCTCTTGGTTTTCTGGGGATTCGCGGGCAGGATGGAGGAGGGATTAGCTCGTTGGAGGCGAAGATAAGTTTTGGAACCTTCATAGGGGTCTGTCAGGCCTGGGAACTCGTGTTGGGCCGTTATAATACCCCATGTATATACTGTCTCAAGATAACACATGAGATTGGTAAGTGTGTCTGTTGTAAGATGGAACCTATTTTCAACTCTCATCAAAATTTCAACTGGTTTGAAGGACGTGCTGTTGAAAATGGGTGGGATCTACGAATGTGATCGCTAGACACTGGTAGATTCGACTCATCCATCATTCCTTTATTTGACT